GGAAATTTCAAAAGTATGGCCAACCTTGAGCTCTATGCAACTTTGGTGATTGTACTTGTAAATACGGGAGGAGTCGGGCTCGTGCAGCGCCAAGGACAAGGAATTAAAGACAGCACGAATTCAAAGACACTCGTAAAGCAGATTGACTTTCAGCCCGAAGTCCGAATCAGGACTGCAGACTTGCATGAACATGGCCTGGATCTCACGTCATTCACAGACTTGGGATTTCACGACATGTGTGACAGAGGCTGATTGCCAACATAACCCGGTACCCATACACAACGTGAGCACTTTAATGGATTCTAAAGTTGGCATGCTTGAAAATCAGGAAGGCAGGCAGGCAGGCAGGCCCACTCTTGTCTCCTACCAGATCAAGAGTCGAGTGATATCCAGAAACCAAAGCACCTCCAGAGGTTTGGATACTTCAGTTACAGGACCATGTAACTGAAAAAATCGGTACCAGGGCACGGTCAGATGAAATCACCTACACCGACAGGGGAGGGAGGGAGCTCGAGCGTACATGAGGTCGGAGCTGCTGCCAGTGAGTGAGGTTGCTAATCATGCAACAGCACACCAAACCAAATTAGCATCAGCATGTGCCCGGGTTTGACTACACAGGACGAAGCTGGGACTTTCGATCTGTTCACACTGTCCAGTACTTGTGCATCGAGGACTGGAGGAAGGGAGGGAGGCATGCAGAAGAGAATGCATGAAGTAAACGAGAAGAGTGGAATAGAGCACAGAGGGTCAAGGATTCATGAGCTGAGGTCATCCATGTTGCCAGAGTCATCGTGAACAGCGTTGGTATGCACGAGAGTTCCTTCGCTCTCGGAGCACACACACTTAAATCGTTGAACGATGCCTTAACTCCGGCTTAGTCACGAGATTGGGGTGCGGGGTGCGCGTCGGAATGAAAACCTGTGGCATCGTAATTGCGCGTTCCGTTCGGGAGCTCGATCCTTACAAGAGATGAAGTCTTCGTGTCAAAAAACCGACCACATTTTGACAGATTGAATGTCATTAAATTCCGGCGGACGAAATTCCGATCGAATATTGCAGCACCTCTGGAGCTAATATTCCTCCCTCGTCCACGCCTGATCTCGTCTGGCCTTTGTTGGTGTGCGCTCGGTCTGATCTACCGGGCGGGGGGTAATATGACAAAGAATGTATTCCTCATCCGCGCCACTTGGGAACTTACACGGGAGCGAAATGGCTGAATCTTAATGTGAATCTCGATGAGACAAATCCGAGTTATTACCCCATGACATGTCCTATCCTATTGCATTAAGAAGCGCAGCTAGAGCACCATATCTTCTATCTTTAGCCCCTACGAGGTCGTCCCCTTCGCAGTTGTCACCATGGGGCAGATCCGAAGCCTCTCCTCCGCAGGGTTCCCCCGGGCACCCCTCGGGCAGCTGCTTCACGCCTCTCAAGGTCCCCTCCCCGCCTTCCCCTGAGCTTTGCACCACGTGATTAGAGTTTGCGGCTTGGACATACGGTTCGTTCGACGGTCACGAATCTGTCAGATGCGATGCAGCAGTCCAGTACAGTACAGTTCAGTGTACTTTGACTGTATATGGACGTAAAAGCCCTGTACATTGGCATGCCGAGTTGACCTGTACAGACGGGTCAGTGGGCGGGTAAAGGGCACCACAACACCAACACCAGCTGCAGCAGCAGCAGCATTATGTAGAAACAGAAGCACAGGAAGATATTGTGCACTTATTCTCGTCTGATTTCCTCTAATCTCTCGTGATCTCATCTTGGCTCAGCTCAGCTCTCTGATCTTCGATGCATGCCTACTCTCGGCCCGAGGTCACGAAAGTCGACGGTCAGAAGGAGGAAGGCAGGACAGGACGGGCCCGACGAGCGCTCGAAGGCTCGAGTCGTCGAGAAGCCCATTCAGCCTGAGGCGCAACAGAGATATTTATGGCTCTTGCTCTGAACATGTGGGTTCGGGTAGAGTCAGCCCTACATGGTGGTGCGAAGGACGAGTTTTGGGTGTGTGGTTCCGTACATGGGGAACGCACTCACTCACTCACGGAAATGTATGCAGAACACGTATGTACTATATCCTGACATTGCAGTGGATTAAACCCTGTGTCTACACCGGGCCTGTGCAAGTTGGCGCATCATTAATTACCATACTGTATGTACAACAGAAGGTACTGCTGCCAGACTGGACTCCATTCACCTCTGCATACAACATCGTTTACATGTGTTTGGGGGCGTATAGATTTGGGCGAGGCCGAAGTAAAATAACGAAAAGGATCCATAGGGCTTTGCGCTTCGTTCCACCCACCGGGGTGCAGAACAGAACAGTACAGGCCGCCCTTCATGACGGCCCAAATGCTTCGAAATGTTGGCATCATGCAAATGGCAGCGGAATTTCGAGCGCAAGGATCCTCGGGCGGGCTTGAGTTGTGTCGGAAGTGCCTTCGGAATGTGGAACCAGAAATGGACAGAGGGAGGAGGAGGAGAAGGAGAAGAAGAAGGAGAAGGGGAATAAGGCGAAGGGAGCACGAGGTGGGCCCCCGAGCGAGCATCATACATTCGTGCATAGAAATCGTCCCGAGACGCGAAGCAAGGAAGGTGCGGTCCAGTGTGCATGCGGCATCTGTGATTCGAATCTGCCTCTCGCTCTCGCTCTCGCCATCGCTCGCACTTCTCGGCCTCTTCTCCTTCGTCTGCTGCTTCTGAACAGTCCTCGCTCTGACATTCAGCAGACCGGATTCGGTACCGCACGGTTGCGCACTTAGGGCTGCCCTCTTCCGAGATAAAAAGCGTGGGGGCTGGGGCTGGGGCTGGGCTTGAGCCAACAAGAATGAAGTTCAAGTTCAAGTCCGAGTCCGAGTCCGAGTCCAAGTCAAGTCAAGTCAAAGTTCGTACTCAGTAGCAGCGACGAGACGAGCCCCCGAGTTTGCGACGCGGCCAGCCAGTCAGCCATCCAGTCAGCCAGTCAGCCAGCCAGCCCCAACTCTACGACTCGAGGCAGGTGCGAGCAAGTCTTGCACGATGAGGAGCCCTCCGCTAAAATAAGCGCAAGATCTAAGACCGGAGTAATCACAGCGAGGTGGCTGTATTTACGACGCGCGACACAATCTGCTCGCTCGCGTCATGTCCGCTCTAGGCCCCGGCTCTTGGCCCCGCCAGGATCAGGTTGAAAACACGGCGTGATTTTACCCCCGCTTCTAGAACTAATCAGATTCTGCCCCCGCGGAGGGCAAGAGGGAGAGGGCGAGAGCGGGGGGTCGAAGCTGATGACAGCCGGTTTCGAGATGCATGAGATTCGGGGTGCCCACTTAACGGTATTGGAAGTGGGGGCCGAGGCCTAATCTGCAGTAAGAGCGTATTACATGAAGCGTTGGATAGATGAGGAGGAGGAGGACGGAAAAGCCCTGCCTCGCGGGGACCGAGTCGTCCTTCGCGTCTGAATCTGGTGCACGGCTACGTCGCGAGCAGCGTTGGACGCTCGAAAGCATAGCACCTCATAGGAATATTATACTCCAGTGCTGCTGTAGAATCACCCGTCTTTGACAATCGAGACACTGGACAAAGTGCGTTCACGTCATCGACTGTCAGCCCTGAGGAATTGGCTCATATATATATATATATATATATATATATATATATGATATGTTTGTTTGTGCGTGAGATTGGCGCAGGTTCGTACTCCGGTGTACTTTCCGATCGCCGATGCCGACGGCCTGCTTCGCTTCGATCCCAACGATGCATCCATAACTCGTCTCGCAAATCCCCGCTGCTTCATGAGTGAGCTAGATCGACCTTCCCAGATTTCTTTCGTGCTCAGAAACTCGGTCCCATCCCGACTGTGAGACAGAGACAGACGGAGGCGAAGAGAAACTGTGAGCCCAGAGTGAGAGAGGCTACGGAATGAGCAGTGCTCAGGGAGCAGAGACCTAAACGGGTGCCGATGAATCGACCTGATTCAGCGAGCGCAACGGACCCGAACGAAATGTTTGGTCTATGAAATGGACGGGGGCTCATTCCGCACACATTATGGTTCGGTAGCCCCTCGGCTGCGTGCAGGGGGCTATTTTTAGCGACGATAGAGGACGCGGGCCGAAAGAATGGCGACATCGTAATCTAGGCGGGCTCTCTTTTGGCCCCCCCCCCCCCCCCCCCCGCGACTGATGAAGCTCCCAGGAGATGGGGCAATTTCCGCAGCCGACAAAAGAATCAGAAGCGGGAGTGCGAGTGGGGGCGCTTTCTTAGCCCTTGAGAAGCCAGAGCGGCTTCGCTCGGGGGCTTGTTGTCTGTCGTTCGCTAGAGGGAAGGGAAGGGAAGGGAAGGGAAGCGCTTATTGGATTTGGCTCGTTGTGGCCATGGCTGACTTCGACCGATCCGAGCTGGAGGCCCCGGAGCTGCTGACCGGGTGAGGGGAGGAGCGAGCAAGAAGGGGGGCTGCGATGGATGGATGGATGGATGGAAGGATGGATGGATGCAGGCGAGAATGAATGGGCTTGTCGGTTCGCTGGCCATGGCGATCTGATGGGGAAGGGGGAGGGGCAAGGGCAAGGGTGAAGAGAGCGACTGTGTGACCAGGACAGGACCACTGCCGCACGGGCAGCGGGCATGCCAACCACGTGGCAGCCACTTCGGAGAAGGATCAGACGGAAACCCTTGTACATCGCCAAATCGCGATTCTGCCCTCGCCCGGTTCGCGATTTCCACTCGCCCTGCACTGCCATCGGAGGGGCTGCTTCGCTTCCTTCCTTGCGCGTGCCACTCCCGTCCTCGCGTTCTCTCTCGCGAGCGAGAGCAAAGGGTTGGGCTTGGCTCGGCTCGGCCCGGCCTGGCCTGGCCTGGGCTTGGGATAGCTGGGCCTGTGGCATGCCTGTCATGACTGGCCTACTCCCCATTCTGCTTCCGTATCCCCCTTGTCTTCACCTTTCACGCCTTACGGCTCCCCCCTCCCTTCTTTCTGGCCCCCCGCCGATCCTCCTGTGTTTTAAGCGCCGAAGCATCTGTTAGCATTCACTGCAGCTTCGCTTCTGTTCAGGCGTCTTGATCAGATAGATCATCATCCTCTGATTGAGGGAGAGAGAGAGAGAGAGAGAGCGAGCGAGAGAGAAAGATAGAGAGAGATAGAACAGACAGACAGACAGACAGTCGCCCTCGCCCTCAAGCTCCTCCCCTCCCCTCCCCTCCCCTCCCTTCCCCTCCCCTCTCCTCTTTTCTCGTCTCATCTCGTCTCATCGCTTCCAACTGACGAGCTCATGTGGAAGAATAGGGTAATGTTGCTACAAATCCAGCGACGGACGGAAGGAAGGAACTCTTCGGAATTCTGAATGCGTGTTCTCGTATCGACCTTGAGAAAGGAGGCACACGGAGAGCAGACAGACAGGCACACGGACCCAGTAGTCTAGCGTGATTGATTGAGTGATCACTCAATCACGCGCCTTGGAGTCCCAGGACTCGGTTTGATTCCGATTTCGCTCGCATCGACAGCTTTAGTAAGAGTCCGTAGCAAGGATTGGGTCATCACGGTGCGGACATCGGGTGCCAGATTGCGTTAGCTAGGGCGAGGACAAGTATGGGTTGGGACGGCAGCGAGGCTAGGGGACAGTGTAATTGATACACGCAGATTTTGGTCGGAGTTGCAAGGAGTGAAGTGAAGTGACCACGCCGACGACGACGACATCCTTCGTGCCAAACTTCAGAATCACCACTGCCAGCGGTTCCATCGCTAGCACGCAGACGTTTAGATTTATCGGTAGCAGTCCGATCTTATGAAGAGAAGTTGCGAGAGCACCACTCGGATCCTGGATAGTCGAGTGCTGACGGCGAGGTAGAGTGAGGCATCCCCCTTCCCTCCCTCCCACCCACCCCTGCGCCGGACCGTGCTGCTCCGCCTCCGGGGATTCTCGGAGGAGACAGTAGACTCGAGGGTCTAAGACAGGACGTGTGAACTCCATCGCCTCGCGGAAAGGTACCCCGGCCTTCCTTCGTCTGAGCTTTCATTAAGAGCTGCGCTGATTATCTTCTCGCTTGAACCGGCATGCAGTCTGGAGCGCAGTCGAGTCAGTTGTCCACCTTATTCCCATCTCGAGACTCGCGCCTTATTTTCGAGCGATTCCCAATTTGCTATTTCGCCCGAGACGGATGTGCAAGCCAAGCAGCGAGCTGTCCATAGGGTCTAGGTCTGATCTTGCAGCGGCTGATCACGAGAGTGCCTCGGTCGCTCCACGCACAAATATTGGCAATTCCGGAGAATTTATTCGGCGCTGACCATGAGCTTTCGTTGTCCTTCCTTGTGGCACAGGTTTCAGCAGCAGCGACATCCGGTGGGCAAAGAGCGCACGTAGTCTGCCGTTGTGGTAGGCACTGAGAAGACAGCGATCCAGTGGGTACCAAAGTGCGAGAAGGAGAAGTGGGGAGCTCGGATTGGAATTGTTATGTGGTGGTCATTCGCACGGTAGCAGAGATTGCGTGCAGCCGAGAAGTAGGAGGAGAAATGTAAAGAGGTGCACGAGGCACATCTGTACATTCACACGCGAAGCGCTCAGGGCGGGTCATGTAGTTGGCGGCGTCGGTCGTTCAGAAGGTGGTCGTATCCTGAAGCTCGTCGATGCACTATAATGAGTTTTATCATTCGGGAACAGATGTTCGTAGCGTCTGCGGGAAGTGCTGGTGCTGGGGCGCATGCTGAGGGCACTTGATGGACCACACATGCACGACGAGAAAGGAACGCAGAAATCCAGACCACGATCACGATCTTGACTCATCGCTCCCTTCGAGCGGAGCTCTCGAGCTCAGCGATACGCGCTCCTTCCAGCAGTTGCGGCAGCAGCAGCAGCCGCCGCAGCAGCATCCGGCGTTCCCGCTGGTGAAAGGAGATCTAGCCGCGACCATGGCAGCCATTCATGCAGCTGCGGATCTGAAACTGGAAATGAGCTCGCTGCCCGCCTGGACTTCGGACTTGACCGCCCAAATGCAGGAGAATTTTGCTGAGCCTCGGAGCCATTGCTTTGCCAACAGCCGGACCAGGCCCAGAGACACGAGTCCCAGGCAGGAGCAGTTGGACATCAGCTCGCTCTATCGGAGCATCCCCAGTCGAGCTTCGGTCGACGGGCTGCAGTCGCATCCCAAGAGCGCAGGAGTAGGAGTAGGACCAGGAGGAGGCACCGGTGGAATTGCGCCCATTCCCTTCTCGCAGCAGCAGCAGGTCGACATGGTCCAGCTCCAGCATCGGAGCAATTTATCGAGCTACATCGGCTTCGATTCGGGCCTCCAGTCCATCACCTCGCTCGTCGGCGGTGGCTCTCTGGATCAGTGCTACAGCGGGGTCAGTCCTCGCTGCGAGAAGCGCCAGCGGCTGTCGCCATCGTCGCAGACCTTCCACACTCCCGAAGGTCTGACCACAATCCGCGACAGCCTGCCATCCTCCGCAGCCGCAGCGGCCACGGCCGCAGCGAGCCGGGGTCGAGGAGGAGGAGGAGGAGGAGGAGTGGGGGCAGCAGCAGCAGCAGCCGCGGCGGCGGCGGCAGCAGATGGAGTCAGCCATCTCCAGGGGTCCGGATCCGCTGGCCAACGAGGGCGCAACGAGCAAGGCCTCAATGAGGTGCTCCAGCGCTTCACGACGTCGCCGTCCGCGCAGGTCCAGCAGCAGCAGGCGAGCATGGCGATCAAGGCCGTGAGCCCGTTCGACAGCCTGGGGCTGGCAGAAATCGCCCCGCCCGCGCCGCCCTTCGACAACGCGCTGCTCTTCTCGTCGTCGGACTCGGACAGCAGCAGCAGCCGGAGTCTGAGGCCCAAGGGCGTGCTGGAAGGGGCGGGGCTGCCCTTGCAGGGGGGCGGAGGCGGAATCAAGAGCCTCGGCTCGCTGACGGTGAAGAATTGCGGCGCCACGCACGACGCCAACACCATGGAGCAATTGCTGGTGCACTGCGCGCAGGCGCTGGACAGCAACGACGTGACGGTGGCGCAGCAGATCATGTTCGTGCTGGGCAACATTGCGCCGGCCGACGGCGATCCGAACCAGCGCGTCACCTCGTGCTTCCTCAAGGCGCTGGTGCGCCGGGCCGCGCGCCTCATCCCGGACCTGAGCCCCATCGCGTCGGCCGGGCGCACGAGCAAGGTGGTGAGCGCCGTGGAGTACGCGGGCATGATCGACATCACGCCCTGGTACAGATTCGGCTTCAAGGCGGCGAATGGGCTCATGATGGAGGCCTTCGAGGGCAAGGAGCGCGTGCACATCATCGACTTCTCGACCACGTACGGGATGCAGTGGCCGACGCTGATCGAGTCGCTGGCCGAGCGGGCCGACGGGCCGCCGCAGGTGCGGCTCACGGTGCACAAGGCGAGGCCCAACATTCCGCCCTTCCTGGGCATGTCGGAGGAGGAGGTGGCGAACAAGCTCATGGCCTTCGCCAGCAGCCGCAATGTGGAGCTGCAGGTGAGCATCCTGCACAACGAGGTGCACCAGCTCGACCGCTCGGCGCTCGACATCCGCGACGACGAGACGACGGTGGTGAATTGCATGTACCGCGCGCGCTACGTGCCCGACGAGAGCGCGGACCCGCCGCACTGCTCGCGCGACGCGTTCCTGCGCTTCGTGCACAGCCTGGACCCGGCGCTGGTGATCATCGTGGACGAGGAGGCGACGCTGACCTCGCCCAGCCTCGTGGCCCGCGTCAAGGCCGCCTTCAATTACATCTGGATCCCGTTCGACGCCCTGGAGACCTTCCTGCCGCGCGACAGCCCGCAGCGCCTCGAGTACGAGCTCGACCTCGAGAAGAAGATCGAGAACATCATCGCCTGCGAGGGCCTGCAGAGAATCGAGAGATTAGAGGCCAAGGACAAGTGGGGCCAGCGCATGAAGAAGGCCGGCTTCGAGCTCGTGCCCTTCAGCGACGACATCAACTCCGAGGTCAAGAGCATGCTCAGCGATCACGCCGCCGGTTGGGGCATGAAGCACGACGAGGACGCCATGCTGCTCACCTGGAAGGGCCACAATGTGCTGTTCGCCACGGCCTGGCAGCCCAGCTTCCAGAATCTGAGCTAGCTGTGGATCTGATGAGCTCGTGCTGTAGATTAGTAGCTAGTTCCCCGTTAGCTCTACGCTGCTTGGGCAAGCAAGTGCTTCAAGGCACGCTGAGTTTTGTACATACATTCATTCTTTACTTCATTGGTTTGTATTCTAAAATTTTGTGAATCAAATTCATCTCGTTGTCGCTCGTCTTCCGAATTTTTGCGAGCTCTTCTCCTTCTGCTGCTCTTCCTGCCCCATCCATCGCCATTTGACTGACTGACTGACTGACTGACTTACGTGCACCTGTCCGAGATTTGGCCGAGCTCGAGTGGGGCAAGTTCAAGCTCTTTCACCATCATCATGATGAGCCGATGGCTCTTTCTCTACAATTCTCATATTTGCCTCGTACGTCCACACGCTCTCGAGGAGTTCTTTCGAGGCTCTGACTCGGTTCTTCCTTGAGTCGCGTGCCTGGCCTTACGGGCGGGGAATGATGGTTTCGGACGATCGGATTCCACAATCGACTCAGGATTTCATGTGCGAGTTGGTGAGCATGTGTCTGACCGAGGCCTGCAGTAAAGTGGGGAATCTGGACCGAGTGTAGATTCAGGTGCCGAGCGCAGCATTCTCGTTGCCTTTTGCGGACGTGCTTTCTTTAGACGCCCGGGATCAGATTACAGGCCGACTGACTGACCTTTCATGGCATCTCGATTCGAGTTCGACCGAATGCCTTCGTGCCATGTGCTTTTTCGCTAGTCAAACGCGCTCCGATTGTCCTCGCAAAGCGTTGTGGGCGCGAGGCTACGTACGTCAGACAGCTTTACAGCAGTGTAGTCTATAGATGGAGACATGTCCTGTTACCATACCAGCTCACGGCAGGATCAAATTATCCTGTCGCTGTCGACACAGGAGGCCCTGAAAAGCGTCTGCCTAACCTTTCCGCGTAGTCGTTTAGTTACACAAGTTTCGGATCTCTAGCTTGGTTAGTTTCACTTTAGTGGTACAAGGGCAGATTCACGGAAGCTGTCACTGCCGCTGAAGGCAGGCAGGCAGGCATCTCGTCAATGTCTGAGAGATAAATGATAAATCTGCAGGCAGATATCTTGCCCCGAGCCATATGCTGCACTCGTCCATGTTTTGCACCTCATATGCTGGGACGTAAGGCCTGTCTGCCTGCCTGCCTGCCTGTTTAGTTTCCCTGCTGGCACGGCCGATCGAACTCAATGACTCTGACCTGCTGCTGACTACGGTAGTACTCCCGTCGTCATGGAGAGTGATCATGACCATGGCTTGAAGCCGATCGAATTCGGATTCTTGGAGCACTGATTGCTCCAGGGTTCAAGGAAACGACTGATAGCATCTGAGTCAGAGACCTGGCCTGCCCGTCTGATGCTGTCGACGTGCTAGCAATGTCCCAGCCCAGCCCAGGCATGGAATATAGCTAGACTACGCCACAGCACCGAGCACAAGAGCTCGGCAATGATGTTGCGACTGAGGACAAGGGCAGCAGCAGCAGCTCACAATTGACAATTTGCGTTCCTCAGGTTGCAGTTGACGGTTGCAGAAAGCTCAGCAGAAGCTAGAGCTACGGGTAGCAGTAGAGCCGGGCTCGCTCGTATTAGTAGTCTTACCCTGCCTTGCCAGTCCAGTGGGTGAGAGCATTGTCTGTTGCGAGGTTACATGCACTCACATATCTCACGAGATATATTCCACCGACCAAGAATATCGAGTCCCAAAACTGTCACTTTTCCTCGCGCTTTGGCCACGAGTGCAGTAAATTTCCAGACCAGCGTGGCTAGCCTCTGCTGCTGCTGCTAGAATTCTTCTATGAGATGCAGCTGCGCAGCTCGGTCAGACTTCATGGTGAGGACCATTAGAAATCCCTCAAGGACGCAGAGTAACGAGCTATGAGACAAAGCCAAGGTAGGTCCAAACGGGGCACGAGAGGTCTGTCACGCTGACACATCCTCTTCTACACATTATCTGACTTCATGGCCGTCCTGGTTGGATCTGGCAGCATCAGCAGCAAAGCACCGCAACGCAAAGCACTGCGAACCAAACCAAAGCAGACCAAAGCAGCAGCAGCAGCAGCTGCAAGACAAGCGAGCGAGCTCGCAGAGAGGATCGTTCGAAGATAGGATGGATGATGGGAGCTGGGCAGACAGACCGTGGACGGACAGACAGCGAGTCAAACATTCTGCTGCAAACTGTTTCCTTCACTCCGTCCCTTCTCATGGACTCGCCCTGTTCTTTTTCGCCCAGCTGCACGGCCCAGCCCGACCCGGGCAGTCCAGTCCAGGCGTGGCGAGGCCGTGGCAGGCAACGCCCCCATGTCCATGCGCTACGAGACCCGGTTCGAGAGGCCGAGCCGACGACGCTAAGATTATGAAACGCAGACAGACCGACAGACCTGGACGGACAGGCGAGTCTGAGAGCGATCGACAGATTCGCGACATGTAAGCGACAGCGAAAGCGAATGCGAACGAAAGGAAGAGCGAGCGTGAGCAGAGGACGAGAGACAGGTCAAGCGCGAGTCTGAGAGCGCGAGCTTCTCTGCCCTTTTGCGGCATCTCAGAGTCCGATTCTGCAGAGCTGCTCGCTGCCCGCTGCCCGAGCAGAGCAGAGCAGCGCAGCGCAGTGCAGCTCGCTTTTGTAATGTGGGCGGGCCTAACTACTTTGTCTCATGCGGCAGACGCAAGCTCAGCTGGCCGTCTTCTTCTATTCTTCATGCATTGGGTCCAGATTCCCCGAGACAAACTTGTAGATCCATCCAACCCCATGTCTTAAATACCTCGTAGATAGATCTACCACCCCGAGCCTGCGCTCTGGCCTTTTCCCTCCACCATGGCCCAATCGGCCCAAACCAAACTTAGCCATGTTAACCGATGTTTCGGCTTCGGATTTCGATCTCGTTCTCCCTGCAGATCGTCGCTTCTCTCCTCGTCCCCTCGATCAGCTGCCAAGCTCGCGAAGCAAGCAAGCAAACGAAGGTCGCAGGTCAAAATGCTTCAGCTCATGAGACAATGTGGCTGCTCCTTGACCAGCAGATCGATTGATGATCTTATCATGTGCATGTGGGGTGGCCACCTTCATCATCAACAACAACAACATAGAACGCACGAACGTGCATCAATGGCGAGGGTCGGATCTTCGGATCATTTTCGTCTTATGGCCTGACTTGACTGCCTGGTCTCACCGCAGTCAACCGAAACGATCAACGATCGGCGCAGATTAGCAACGGTCAAGGTGAAGCGTAAATTTGGACTCGTCCTGTAAAGCTTTGCGAGCGCACTCTTGAAGGCGTTTGTCTCCATGGAGGGGAGGGCTGTGCAGTACTCGCACGAGTACAAGGCCTTGGTCCGGTAGTATCTCGTTATGAAGCGACCGTGCTCGCCCCGTGGCCAATGGCGAGCTGCGGAGCTCGAATTTCGAGCCATGCCAATCGCTATGGCTCGCGCTAAGTTTAGAGGCGCCTCGCCTGGCCATGACAACGACGGAGATCTGGCAGTGGTCGCGGCTGGCGACATTCTCTCGACTAGTGATAACTTGTAGTACAGCCGCCCGGCTCGTCAACTGCGCAAGTACGAAGATGCTCGTACAGGCGATCCAGTACCGACTGTCTGGCCCGATCGCCCTCGAGCTAACTTTAGCTGGGCTTTTGCCATGACAAGCTCCTACGCTTACCTGTTCTGCTCGATAACATCAACTCATTCCATGATTTTGTTTCTGCCCCTTGCGAGTTCATGAGCTAGCGACAAGTGTTCTTGCGCTCCATTGTCTCATTTGGCTTCTCCACATTTCACGTACGCCAGACGTTGCTGTATGTTCCCACCACGATGCTGCTCCTCGCATCCATCCTCCTGCCCTTGGCGTTAGTCGGAGCTCAGCGAGGTCAATCCCATCCTTGCCTTCTGGAGCAACTGCAGTGGCCGACTTGCTTGCAAAGTATCCGCGGCTGAATAAAACATGCCTCGCTATATTCGCTTGCTGTCTATTACAGGCATTCCTTCCAGGCGACCACGGAATCAGATAATGTCAAGACGATGCATGATGTGAAGTCGGTCCTCAGGCTTTTCCATGTATGTACTACCTCTCTATTGCATCATTATGAACCAAGTGCATCACCCAGCAAGAGGAAGAGGAAGAAGAAGTAGCTGTAGAATAAGAAGCAGGAGAATATGGAGAATAAGCGGTGAGTGAGTTAAAGCTAGCTTTTAAAAAGCACCGAGCCATGGAAACTCGAGCTTCGCTATCCCAAGGCCTCGCACATGAAAGCTTGAGGTCGGTAAGTCAAAGACCTTCAGTGAAAATGCGTACGACCTTAGGACAACGAAAAACATGCAGGACCGATCAAGGAGGTCGAACCATTTTGCGGTTCCTCTGTACTGTACTGTAAGCTCCGTCTTGAGTTGATCACGAGCTTACAGTACGCAGAGACGCAAATACCTGGGCGTTGTACGTGTGATTCAATTCAAGGATGTGTCACCCATCGGATGCCTAACCTCGTAGCTCCAGATCAATCACTTAATCTTTTATCTCACTTAACCCTATATCTTATATTGATAATCTTCCCTTACAATACTCTGGTCCGGATTCTTGATGTGTACTATCCACAGGAAACTCCTTCCTTGTCTCTATCAGGGTAACACATCTCTGTACTTACTCTATACAGTGGCCTATGATCATCGATAAGTTAATTATTGTGGGTCCTGGCTCGTTATTTATGTATAAATTGGTTAACCTGAAGTAAGAGTTTCACCTCGACTGTGATTAACGATGTTCCAATGCTCGGCTATCTTGAGGTTGAGGCATTTCCATATTCAGAATGCTTTCTATCATCCATATCACCGTTTCATATATAACTTGAAGATATGTGACAAGTTATGCTTGATAATAGGTCCGTTTGCACTAAATTCTAGCACCTGCTAAATACCCCGTTTGGAAAGAAATTGCTTCGGTTGTGGTAAAAAAACATATCCCAGTTCCCTCCCGATGGGTGCCAGCCCAAAACTTTTAGCTTCAGAAGGACCACACTATTCCAACTATTTAAACAGCTATGATTTATGAACTCCATCAAAATAATCACACCATACCGTCTTCAACAAATTGGTGTAGTTAGGAATAATCCTCACCGTCAGTAGTTCTGACGGTGAGGAATACGCGTTTATACTAGATCTAAGAACAGAGCGCGGGTACCTTGGCTAGTACTTCTTT